TTTAAAAACCACTGAATTTAAACCACATGAAATGAAATTAATTTTGTTCTTGATTGAACTGCAGCACTGCTTTGTGGTATCCTAATAGCCGTCTGCCGATGATTAAACAAGGTGGTACAGCTCAGCTCCATAGAGAATGTCTTTTGCAGCTCTCACCACGGTATACACGCTCAACAACATCAGTCATTTTATATCTATTTGACACTGATTAATTACTTCGATCTATTCTGGTGCTACAGACACTGTCCTAAACAATTGAAGGGAGTTCAGCAGTGTGAATTATGTATTTATTACTGTGACCCTTCCTGCTATTTAATTAACTTAAATAGATGGTATTTGCACCCTCATTTTGAAATTAAGGTTATTGTAAAACTAGCTATTTTACTTGTATTTCACTTTAAGACATGAAAATTATACTGAGATTATAAGGCAATGTTTTGCCTTTTAAGTTATTCAGATGTTTTGCTTGTTTAATAGTGATGCTTAAAATGTTTTGTGTGAAAATTTAACAAAAATATCCATTAATAGTTTATCTTGACTTGGGCTCTATGTCTAAATTGAGGAATGCACAGAGCTCTTGTAGGCATATCCTCTAAACCTGAAATGAACTTGAAAACCTGCTTTATAAGCACTTGGAACATTCCTCTTTGATCCTTACACTAAGGATTGAAAGAACATTTACAAACAAGCCAACTTAGATATTTTTAACACTTCGGAGGCAACTTAAATCAAAGAGGAGCAATCATTAGCATATACATACCAAATGGAAATATTTGTAAAAATACCTCACATACATCAACAAGAAAGTCCCTAAAATAAATGTACAAAGGATTTTTTTTTTTAATATTTATTGATTTCAGAGAGGAAGGAAGAGGGAGAGAGATAGAAACATCAATGATGAGAGAGAACCATTGATCAGCTGCCTCCTGCACATGCATTGTCGGGGTTCCGGCCCACAACCTGGGCATGTGCCCTGACTGGGAATCGAACCCTGACCTCTGGTTCATAGGTCGACACTCAACCACTGAGCCATGACAGCCAGATCACAAAGGATTTTTTAAGATAGTGGTTAGACATTCTAAATGATACTCATCACCACAGATAATCATTGACATGCAAATCAAAGCAATCCAATTCTGATGATTGTTTATCTCAATATCAGGTATTTTTAATTGTTTTATGTTCTTTATTTATTCATTTAATAATAAACAAAAGTATCTTATTGAAGTGGGAGCCAAGACAACAGGTAGTATTTTCTTTTGGCATCTCCCTCTGAGGGAGGCTAGCAAAGCTGATGGGGCCACCACGTGGACTTACGGAGATGGTTTGGTTTCTAATAACACCCAATGTTGATGTCAATGGCAGAGTAAAATGAATACATTTGTGCCTTTTATTAAGGTGTCCCACTTTTAGTAATACATCATAAGGAGTTTATTCAAAATTCAGACTTATTTTTTATTCTTTGCTATTCTAAGAAGTGAAAGTAACATTGTTTTCATTTGTTTGCCTTTCTTTAAAGTATCTTTATGGAATTTTTGTTCATATTGTCAAATCTTCAACCTTTTCCTTTTGGTTTCTGACTTTGGTTTCATATTTTAAAATATAACATTACTATGTTTACACGTTTTTATTGAATCCTTTTCCTCAGTGGTTCCAAATGCCCAACTTGCCATGTACTGAATCTCCTAACAGATTTTTAAATTTTTCTACATTATATATGTATCTGTGTTTAGTTCTAAAGCACCATATTTTTAAAACATTTTTATTCTATAATTTACATGCAATAAAAATTCACATTTATGTTGTATAGTTTGATGAGTTTTGACAAATATATACACCACCCTTATCCTATATAATAAAAGGGTAATATGCAAATCACCCGAACGGCAGAACGACCAGTCTTTACAACACACACTGACTACTAGAGGGCAGATACTTAATGCAGGAGCTGCCCCCTGGTGGTCAGTGCACTCTCACAGGGGGGGCACTACTCAGCCAGAAGCTGGGCTCACAGTTCGTGAGCGCAGTGGCGGTGGCGGGAGCTTCTCCTGCCTCCACTGCAGGTGGGCAGTAAGGAGCAAGGGGTCCTGGTCTGTGAGAGCCCCAGACTGCGAGAAGGATGTCTGCCTGCCGGCTTAGGCCCAATACCCCCGGGAGCCTAAGCCAGCAGATGGACATCCCCCAAGGGATCCCAGACTGCAAGAGGGTGCAGTCCGGGCTGAGGGACACCCCTCCTCCCCAGTGCATGAATGTCATGCACCAGGCCTCTAGTAAAAATACAAAATACTTCCGTCACTCTAAAAAGTTTCCTTATTGAACCCTTGTGTGGACATCCCCAATTCCAGTACCCAGAGCAAGGCAGACACTGGTCTGCTTTACTGTATAGTAACATTACTAATTAGCATCACTAATATTAAAGTATTAGTATTCTTTCAGAATTTTATATAAATGGAATTACACAGGATGTACTCCTGCTTCTTTTGCTCAGCATGCTTTCATCTGTGTATCAGTACTTGGTTCCTTTTTATTGACAAGTAGTATTCCTTTGTATGGATGTATTCCAATTTACTTACGCACTCAGTTGCTGCTAGACTTTTGGATTGTTTTCCGTTAGGGGTCATTATTAATAAAGTTGCTATGAACATTCATCTAAAAGTCTTTGTGCAGACATGTTTTCATTTCTCTTGGGAAAATACCTGGGAGTAGAATTATCAGGTCTTACGGTAAGTGAATGTTTAACTGTATAAGAAACTGGCAATTTTTTTTCAAAATGACTGTACTATTTAACATTATCTACCACCACTGTATGTGCAGTTGCTCAACATCCTCCTTGCCAACACTTACAAAAAAAGTCAGTTCATTTAATTTAAACCATGCTAATGTATAATATGCAGTGATGTTATGCTTTTAATTTTCATTTACCTGATGACTAATAATGTTGAGCCTCTTTTCATATGTTCATTGGCCATTCGTATATTTTTTTGTGTGATGTTTCAGTTAAAATATTTAGCTCAGTTTTTAAGTGGGTTGTTTGTCATCTTATTATTGAGTTGTCAGAATCTTTATTTATATAGATACAAGTCCTTTGTCAAATATATGTGTTGCTAATATATTTATTCCAATTCCCAGCTTTTCTTTTCATGGTCTTAATGTTTTTTTGAAGTTTTCTATCTTAAGAAATCTTTGCTACCCTAACATTATGAAGATTTTCTTGTATGTTTTCGTCTAAAAGTTTTTATAATTTGGCCTTTTAAATTTAGGTCTATGGTATATTTTATGTTAATTTTAATATTAGTAGTTTATCTTTTCCCAAATGTGTATTAGATTGCTCCACCATCATTTCTTGAAAAGACTGTCCTTTTTCTATTTAATTACCTTGGCTAATTGACCATATGTGTGTAGATGGGTCTGTTTCTGGGCTCTATTTTGTCCCATTGATCTAGATGTATGTTCTTTTTCAAAATTGGTTTTGTTTGGATTCTATAATTGAAACACTGTTTCAGCTCCAGCTCCGAGGCCGGCTGGCTGAAAGCAGGTTTCTGGGGTTTGTTTAGCTTCTATGTTTGCAACATTGTTTCTTAGAGTGGAAGCTCAGAGGCTGACAGCGGCAAGCGGGGAACCTTGGCTTCTTCCTTCACTGGAGCAAGCAAGCCTCCTGTTTGCTTCAGCTGCCTGGCTGCTGGCCGCCATCTTGGCTGGCAATTAATTTGCATATCTTGCTGATTAGCCAATGGGAAGGGTAGCAAAGTTATGGTTAATTACCATGTTTCTCTATTATTAGATAGGATAGATAGATATGTCTAGTGATGGAAAACTATGTCAGCTTTACCATTTTTGTGGGATATATAGAATGTGTCAGTAATGATATCTTTATACTCTAAAATAAATATAACTATTAAATGGTTTTGATATGTTTTACGGTGCTGTTTCACTACCATATTGAAAAACATCCAGATTTATTATCTCTTAATGTTGGGGGACTTGCAGTTAAAAAAAAAAGTAAAATATTTATTCACTCCTTGGGTAGTTTTATATAGATCTCTTAGTCACTTTATATGGACTCTTTGTGTGTTCATCCAGATGGTGAAGCTATACCTGCTGCTATTGGGCGTGATCTTACTCTTATTAAAGCAGGGAATGGTGATCAGTTACAACTTAATAATCTCTTTTGTTATTTTTAATTAGCTCTTGGTAAATAAGTGAAAAAAAAACTTAAATGAGAAGTATTTATACTCAGAAAAGCACATAGATATAACATATAATTTCATTTTGGAATAAAATAAAATTTGGAGCATACTCTATAAGATTTTAGGGAATCAGTTTTTACATTTAAAACAAGTATGTAATGTTTTTTGTGTTTACTGTTTCACCTGTGTAGGTTCTGTTTTCCATTTACACTGTTAGCACCTTCAAGGCTAACAGCCTTGTCATGTGACTCTATACATTTATGTTTTCTCAGCTATAGTTTTCTGTACCTGAGAATGTCATGTTCTGAAGGCTCTCTATAACATGTGTTTTCTCCCTTAAATGCCATTCCATGTGTACTCCTTAAGTTAACCATGATTTTAGCCCTCAGGTCATTCTTTTATTAAATTCTTGTGAAACATGCCTTTTACTGCCTTTCAGCCATCCCCAATTTTCACTCTCAGCATACTTTAGACATAAACCTGTTGTATAATTGTTGGTGTAGCTATTTCTCTTTACCTGGACATCATATGAACTCTTTGAGGGCAGGAACCGTATCTTGTATCTTTCTGTGTGCTCAGGATTCACCATAGGAACTCGTATTCAGGAGTTCAGTAAAACTACTCCCCAATCCCACATGACCACTGAAGTTTTGCTCTTTCTCAAAAATTTGACAATTTAAAAGTTTTTGAAAATTTAGTGAAACATCTCAACAGCAACAACAAAAAAACAGAAGTACTGGTGTACATTATTACTTTTCTGTTAGGACTGTTTTCCTTGAATTCTTAAACATACTTTTTGCCTTTCTCCTGTAGGTGAATCCTTGAAAGGAAAGATCACGGTCCAGAAGAATAAGAAAGATCCACGTTCTCTCATTGTGACCCTGACATTGAATAATTCAACTCAAACTTATGGTCTCCAGTGAAAAAGCCATGAAAGCACAACTAACTTTCCGGGTTTTTTTTGTGGGGGTGGGAGCGTTGTGGATGTAGGGGGAGCAGTTTTATGTGAGCACATGGATGATTGATCCTTTCCTAATGAGTCTCCTCAGTAGAATTGTGGCAGGAATCCAATGTAATACAGCCAAGGAAGGGAATCCACTGGTCCTAGTGATCCACCTACATAACCACATTCTTGGAAGTCTAGTTGGTGAGATTTAACCAAACCAAATGACCCCTACATTAAGTTTAGCTTTATTGAAAATCATTTAAATTGGCCTACATATGGAACAGACATGGTCTTTGTTATTGTTTAGTTTCCTATTATAAATTTTAAACAGTACTTAGTTGTTATTTGGGTAATGTTTTATTAAACCAGTAACTACACACAAGGCATTGCACATTTTATTGCAGATTTCCTCTCTGAGGAGGAGTATTTGTTAGAATATCAGTATATAATAGATTCAAGACAAGTGTAAGGGACTAAAATATGGAAAAGCGCATCACACAAATCATATGATTATTTTGTAGTGCTGTAGTTTTCATTTTGTAGCTTTGCAAATATTCTTTAGCCATTTACTTTTCTAGCATTGCCCAGGAAATCTAATTTCAATATGTTTATTATAGGTTTCACAAAAGTTTTTAAAGTTTGGGATAAATGTGTACTTATTTACTAACATAATGCCTTCTTCAAACTAAATTTTTGTGCAAAGCTAAATGTGTAACTGTTGATCTATCACTCTTTACAATTGTGTCATTTATCGTTGACTCAGTTTGAAACGCAGAATAGAAAACATTTAATAAAATGTATACAACAGCCATTAGCATTATAAAATGACATTTCAAAATATTAAGGCCTTTTATAAAATCAGAAGCATAAAAATTTTATTAAAGTACTTGACATACAATATTACATTAGTTTCAGAAGGTGTGCAATATAGTGATGCAACATTTATTATAAACATAAAATGATCCTCACAATAAGTCTAGTAGCCATCTGTCACCATAAAATGTTATGGTGTAATTGACTATATTCCCTGTGTTGTACACTACATTCCTGTGGCTTATTTTATAACTGGAAGTTTATATCTCATCCCCCTTCACCATTTTCACCCATTCTTCGTGCCCTCCTCCCCTCTGGTAACCATCAGTTCTCTGTATCTATGAATCTGGTTTTGTTTTAGATTCCATATATAAGTGAAATCATCTGGTGTTTATCTTTCTCTAGCTGACTTATTTCATTTACCATAATACCCTCTGGGTCCATCCATGTTGTCAAAAATGGTAAGATTTCATTCTTTTGTATTTCTAAGTAATATTTCATTGTGTGTATATACATCATCTTCTTTATTCATTTATTGATGAATACCTAAGTTGCTTCCATATCTTGGCTATCTTATATAATAAAACCCTAATATGCAAATCTACCAAATGGTGGAACGACTGGCCGCTATGATGCGCACTGACCATCAGGGGGCAGACATTCAACGCAGGAGCTACTCCCTCGTGGTCAATGTGCTCCCACAAGGGAAGCACTGCTCAGCCAGAAGCCGGGCTCACGGCTGGCGAGCACAGTGTGGTGGTGGGAGCCTCTCATCCCTCCGCTACAGGTGGGCGGTAAGGAGTGAGGGGTCCCAGACTGTGAGAGCCCCGGACATCCCTCGAGGGGGTCCCGGACTGCGAGAAGGCGCAGGCTGGGCTGAGGGACATCCCTCCACCCCCCAGTGCACAAGTGTTGTGCACTGGGCCTCTAGTTGTAAATAATACTGCCGTGAACATAGGGGCGCATACGTCTTTTCAAATTAGTTTTTTACTTTTCTTTGTGTAAATATCCAGAAGTGGAATCTCTGGGTCTTACGGTAGTTCAGTTTTTAATATTTTGAGGGATCTCCATACTGTTTTCTATACAACAGTGCAGGAGGATTCCTTTTTCTCCACATCCTCACCAACACTTGTTATTTGTTGACTTTTTAATAATAGCCATTCTGACAGGTGTGAGGTGATATCTCATTGTAGTTTTGATTTGCATTTCTCTGATGATTAGTGATGTTGAGCATCTGTTCATATGTCTGTTGGCCATTTCTAAATTGGGTTGTTTGGGATTTTTTGATGTTGATAAACAAGTCTTAAAGGAATTGTTTTTAAAAAAAAAAATAGGGATTTTTAAAGAGGTGGGTCACATGCTTCTTTTCAGTTCAATCACTGGCATTTTGTTTTTTTGTTTTGTTTGTTTCAAAACAAAACAGAGGCAAGGCCACAGTGGTAAGAAGTATGAGCTCTGGAGTCAGTGTGTAGGTTGAAGCCATGGTTCTGGGTCTTACTTGCTATGTGATCTTAGTCACATTCCTAATGTCTCTCTCCCTCCATGAATGTGCCAATTCATGAGTTAATGCATTTCAACTACTTAGATCAGTAGTTACCATATTGGAAACAGTCCATGGAAGTGATAGTGTCATCATCATCATAGTCAAGAATCCCTCCAAAGAATATATGACATTTACATTAGTTCAGTTGGAGAATTGTCAACCTCATTAAAAACTAGCCTAATACATGAATGGGTGGGGAGATTACAACCGAAATTAATATTTAATATAGCAAAAATTGTATTGAAAAGAAATTGTCTTTTGGTCTTTATTAGAGAACTAGACTTATAACCCGTCAAACGATGGTGTTTCAGACCATAGTCTTTTAAGTTATTCTTCATGAGCATGATTTTTCTTTTCACTGGGTTAAATCAGCCAGCTTGTTTTCAATGTGAATTTGTATTCAGACCATTACCGGAAATGTATGGTGCAGATAGTACAGCTCAAAGTACTTGGAATGGCTTCATGAACAAAGTTGAGTGGGGTGGGGTGATAAAACAAAAATAAGGAAGCCTGTAAGAAGTTTAATAGATTGTTAAAGTAACAAAAACTATCTAATTTTTTATTTTGTTTTTCTTTCTTGTATGTACATAACCATTGTTTTCTGCTACTTAAAAAAGTTTTATCAAAAATGATTATTCTTCAAAACTCTTGTTTAATTTTCATGGGGTTTTTACACAGTGGCTCTTGATTGTTTTCTCCTAACTATAACTAGCCCAACCATAGTTTGTGTACCTAAACATTTTATGAAAATTTCAGAGTCCAAATATTAGCTCTTCATTTGGAATTTCTGCCATTGAACTGCTGTGAAAAGTAAGTACTTTGTCACCCTTGACAGAGGTAACATAATGTCCTTTCATGCTGTGACAGATGGGCGTTTATTGATAGCAAATTACTCTGTCCCAAGGATTCTCTTTTATTTCCATTAAGAAATTTTTTTTTCCTATTTTACTTTGTGAGCATTAACATTATAATGTTGTAATATGTGGAGTTCATTCAAGTAGAACAGTCATCTCTTTTGAGTAGAGCAGTATTTTCTGAACAGAGCATTTTGGAAGGAATCTTCCAAGAAAACAACTCTGCAGGTGTGCAGCATTGCACAAGTGGTCCAAAGTAGCCCCGACTGCCAGGAACAAATAAGTCATGGAGTTCTCATTTATTGCTTAAAGAATTTATGTCTGATGCGTAGGGCAAATAATTCTGATCCAATCGGTGATAGCCATTGTCCTGCAAAAGAAAAGAGTAAGCTTGTTCCAATAAAACAATAGAATTTTTCACTAAGATTCAGGTTTTCAAATTAGAATTTCGGAAAACATGTATCCACCACCGTGAGCTTGCTGGCTCTTAAAAAGACTGAGAATAGTCATACAAGGAAGGAAAAATATTTTTTTTCTACCCTTTTAAATTCTCTCAACTGGAACCTCTGTAACAAAGATTAGCCAGAGAAATGCATTTCATAGAAGTTTTACATGACACAGGAGCCTTCAGAAGGAAATAAAGACCTGAAGAAACAGTTGCACCTGACTTTTTATGCCAGGTTTGCTGAAGAGTGTCAAGTCATGGGAAGATGTGACAGGAAAAGGTGTGGTCAGTATAGTAAATAGGGGCAAACTTAGCAAGGCCCGATCATTCAGATTCCTCTCTGTCCCTTCATTTTCGGAGATACTCCTTTCCTGCTGGTGTAGGGAGGCACCTCTCACAGAAGGGTTTTATGAGCGGCTTCAGGGGAAGGTCAGAAAGTCCTTCATGAAGGTGAGAGGAATCATACAGACAGATCAAATATATGTTCTCATGGTGGCTGTTGAACACTGGGTTCACCTGTTTACAGGGAAGCAACAAGTCATAAGAGTTAACAAAAGAGAAAAAAAAAAGGTCATCTTTCATTCCTCACATTCCTTGAGCTTGAAATATTCAGTATGCTAAGTTGCTGTATTTTGTGGTAGTGTGCTCTATACCTGGTCAGCAGTAACAACTGGTGATTTTTTTTATCCTGGATGACAAAATGAATCAACATTTTGAAGATCTGCATCACTCAAAGAACTAATATCCTGCTCCCCCCCCCCCCAAAAAAAAATGTGTAATGTCACAAATATCCATTCAAAGTACAAGATAAATTACTGGATTCTAATGAAACAATAAAAGTTTATTGATAGTTTTAGGTTTCACATTGCCCCTGGCCTTTAAGAAACTACCTGTCAAGCTTGGACTTAGTATTCAAGAAGATTATATGAGGCTATATTTTCCTTATGAATCTCAACCAAAACATAAACAGACTGAATGCAGAAGCAGGTATAAGAATACAGCTGTGTCCTTTCTACAAAACCAGGTAATAGAGATTTGCAAAAATGCTAAATAACACTACTCTTACTAAATATTATTTTTGGAAAAAAAAAAAGTCATTAAAAGTTACTTCTCAATGAGATTTCTCTGTCCAATTTAAAGTTGTAAAACCCATACTCCCCCTCCCCCTCCATCCCCCTCCCTCCTCCTTTTCTCCTAGCACTTACTGCTATTTAGTGTACTATCTGTATTTTACCAGTTTGTCTTTTTTATTTCTTTTTCCTTCCACTAGAATGTGAGCTCCAGGAGGATAGGGATTTTTGTTCATTTTATTAATTGCTGTATTGTGCACTGGCATATAGTAGGAGTTTAGTCAATATCTGTTGAAGGATATTGGCCAATAATCTAGACTGGTGGTTCGCTATAATTAACCAATGATACTATGGCAGTTTCTCCTCTTTAATTACTTATTTCGTTATCTATAAATTATTTTGCCTTTCTGAATTAAGACACCTCTAATAGATTTAAATGTTTATTTTTTTCCAACCACTGATGTTTTAAAATTCACAGCCTGAGACCATCAAATGGTTTTGACCCCATATAAAAACCCTAGGTTTACATATGGGTGGATCATTTAGTGAACATATGCACATTTAAATAGTTTTTAATTTACTTGCACTTGATCCTTTTCACAAAGTAAATAATTTGGTATATTTTAGAATTGGCAAAGGGTAATGATAGGTGTGAAAATTGCTTGCACATGATACACTATTTTAAAATCAAATTGTTTATAAAACTTAATATTTTCTTTATGAATTAAACAGTAAGGAAACAAGGACAAAATTAGGAGTGACTCCAAAAATCTTCAACATATAACTTCATAAACTAATGTCAATAATTAGGAATATTTTAGCTAATGAGAAATCTTCATCAAATAATTTTTTAAAACCTTACTTATACATATGGATATAACATTAGTAACAGCAAGGATTTTTTTAAGTGGTATTTTTATCCTCATCTCCATCCTTAACGTTTTTGAAAGAACAAAATCTTTGTGTGGTTTGAGTGCCCTTGGAGTGATTTCTGAAAGCAAACAGCACATTTTTCCCTCTTTGAAACTGAAGCTGAAATCACAGGAACATGAATGGAGCCCCAGGTCTCTGTTTCATTAGTGTGTGTGTCTCCAATGACCCTCCTGCTGGGAACCCTAATAGGATTTCTTCCCCTTACACCTTCCTCTGCCCCTATCCTCATGCTGTTCTATGGTATTTGGTTTAATGAGACAACTCCTGTGATCCAGAAAAGAAAAAAAGCCTGTCTTTTCCTTAAATAGACAAA